CACGGTGTGATACCCACTTGAACGACTTCGAGCTGCATTACAAGCTCGCATGTTTGTGCTTCAAAACAGACTCGGTCTCCCAAAGTCATTTCCGAACAAAAGGTGTGATAACATGTCCTTGCGAGATACCAACGCCCTGCCAAAGGGAGTGACAGCGTTGATGAAGTCTTCGAAATCAAGCTTACATGTGGTCGAGACATTTCTACTAGAGGCAGTTGTAAGCCCTTTCCATTCGAAGTGTGCAGCGATTGAAACAGTTCCAATTGTTGCCTGTCAGCTTGCAAAGTCTCTGGTTGAATGTTTTGCATCAGTTTCTATCGTGATTTTGGGATCAGCATCTTATGTAGCGAGTCTTCCATGGGCTAATCGATTCTTCATGGGTGCAATGCTTGATACTGTTTTTGAATCGGCAATTTCCACGGATGCATACACGGTGTGTGTCTTTTCCGTACGCGATTTCTACAGTCGAGGTTGGCCGAGATACAAAAAGCAGCCTGCATGCAAGACTTAAATGCCAGACATGCTCGCCCATGGAAGCCGGCGCTTTCGCTGCGCTTCATGTTCGGTGGCGCTGTTGGGCGTGTTGTGGTTTTGCCATCTCGCTGTGCCGAAGTTTGCCGGTACCATTCTGGAGATTGGAGGTCCGGTGCATCAAGGCGCCTTTAGTTCTCGATTTGGTCGTGTGGAGCTGTGAAGCTCCTGCTCAGATGTTGCGGGCCGCATGACAGGAAGCTTGCAACATGCGGAAGGAGTTCTGGCAGATGCCGCTCTGGATGAGTTCCAGCAGGAGTTGCCTCACCGGTGGCAGAGAATAGGCAGACTTGCAAAGGGGTGCCTTATTTCCTCACGGCTCCAATTCGTCGATGTTTGTGCCCCATGCAGGCGACTACTTTTTGAGACCTGTTGGTGGCTCCTTGCCGCGACTTCGCAGCTCTCCCTGGTCTTTCCTCCGCACCGAGAAGGTGCTACGAGGAAATGGGCTGGTGAAGAGCGAAGGCGCGAATGTATTTATAAATACGCATTGCTGCAGACTCTGCAGAAGTTGTCTCTGTGCTTCTCCAGGTGGTCACTCCTTTCGCAACTTGCGCGCCTGGCTGGAGGCAGCTTTTCTTTTGCATGTAGTTTGCTTTGCAGACCTCGGGTCGCAGGAAGTCTGCAGAGTCTTGGGCCTGTCGCAAACATCGAGAAAAACCTCGTCACGTTGCCCACAGCTCTGGATCGACGAGGCTTGGCCACCGAGCCGGCTTACTCCACGCAGCAAGCGCTCTGCGCCTATCTGGATCTTGCCGGCCACAGAGCGAGATGCACTAGAAGCTTGGCCACACAATGCTTTAAGACCCGCAGTCTAAACGGTCCCATACTGGACTCTCTTCCCCCTTTTTCCTCTGCAAGACAGGTTGTCCAGACGAGCTTGCTCAAAGAGTATCGTCCACAGGAAATCAAAGCGCTTATGGGCTTCGAGGTGGGCCAACTGGTTCTGAGACGCCTGCCAGCTGTCATTCCACAAGAGCTGCGTGAGCCTCTGACGTACGGAATCTTTGCAGCGCGAGCGTATGATGCTCTTTGTCAAGTTACTGAGCCGAATCAAGCCTTAGCCGGTGCACCGCCCTGGATACGAAGAATGCTGACGGGTCGTGCCCGGTCCTGGAAGCGCCCATACTCGCACACGGGCACGACGGCCGAGTTCGAAGCCCTCGGCGTGATTCTTCGTCGACTCGTTCCAGGCCCACTGCTGCCGCCTATCTTTGCTGGGCTCGCCGTCAACAGCAATGAGATCGCAGAAGCGTTGGAACACCGGAAACCCCCGAAGTGGCAGCTGAGGGGATCCCCAGCACCTCAGCCCTTGCGAGATCTCGCTGGGAATGCATTGGTCTTAGCACTGATTCGGCTTTTCAGCGGTTCGAGGGGAAGGTCTTATGTGCTCACCCTGGCAGCTTGGCACCATCTCTTTTGTTTCAGCTGCTGCCTCGTTAAATGCCTGAAACCAGATGAAGCTTTGAAGTCTTCTCCAGTTGCATCTAGCTAGAGGCCGTGAGCTTGCAGCTGGTAGCATCTTTCGCCTGAGGGTGAGCTCAGGACCGTGCCGCGGCCCTGGCCGCCGGGGACGCAACGGCTGCAGCCAGTGCGCTGCTCAGGGTCCACCGGCTCCTGCCGCCGCAGCAGACCGAAACTTGGTGAAAGCGAGAGCCCTTTTTGGCTTCTTGGCTTCCTCTCGCCTTCGGTTGCTCAAGAGCGCATAGCAGGGCATGGCTTGAGAGCTTTTTCAGGATCTGCGGCGAACGCTTGGCAGTGTGGCCGACATGGCTCACGCGAGGACATGGGCTTATCGGCAGGAGGCGCTGTTTCAGAACCCCAGGGAGCCGCCCCCGGCGGTGCGAGTGGCGGAGCTCTTGAGTTGGTCTCAAACAGATCAGGCCAAGCGCCTCATTGCCTTGGCCGAGATGCGACGGAAGCACATAGAGACCTCGAGCTGGGAGACATGGGCAGGTCGTTCCTGGCCCTGGGGCTCTTTTTCTGGATCTGCGTTTTGGAAGCCCTGGATGGGCTACTGGGCTTTGTCTATCTTGTGGCTTCCTTTCGCCCTCACTTCAATCGATGCAGTCCGCTGGGCCTCCTGGGTGACTCTGTGTCTCACCGTCTTCGGCCTACTGTTGCCGCTATTGCAGTTTATTGGGGCTCCGACGCTTCCCTTCATGTCCATCAGCACCTTGTGGACATCCCTTTTGCTGTATTCGTTGATTGCTGGAAGTATTTGGTGGAACCACCTCCTAGGTGGTGCACGTCGCTGGGCTGTTTTGAGTGGCCAGTTGGCTGCTCAACTCGTAGATCAAGCGGATGCTGCAACTGGAATTGCTTTCCTTACGAGGGATTGGGCGGAGATGGCGCGGCGATCCCTGGCAGCCCTTGACCAGGTGCACGGATGCCGCCTTGTTAAGAACCAGCCGAACCATAGGAACTGTGGTTGAGAGTCGGGATATTTCGAGCTCGTTGCAGATCACAGTCCCGAGGAATCTAGTAGGCTGCAGGCTTCACGAAGCAGAACATGCCGAATTCATGCCGTTGAAATGCTGCTGGAGGGAGCTTCGGGTCGCACACAGCCCAAGAACATTACCATTGCGTGGAAGGAGCTCTGTGGCAGCTGGAGGACGAGCCTTCATGAGCTGGCGTCAGCATCTCATTCCGTCTGCGATGCTTGTCCTCGGCCCGTGTCAGCGGCCCTTTGAGGTCAAAGTTGGCAGACCTTCGACAAGAGCTTGAGGTCAGCCACCGGCTTGAAACAGCCTTTCAAGCGTGTCTTTCTGTGTTGTGGTGCAACGTGCAGGATTCTACTCCTCTCAGTCCGCTGCCTCAGAATGCCGGCCGAAACAACGGAACGATAGATCTTGAGATTTGTGGCATATGGTGTGGGGCAGGCTGTGTAACCACTGGCTGTTTCAACAGTGATAGTTGGATAGTTGGATCGACATATCTAGCCGAAGTTGGAAACATTAGCTCATTAGCAGAATCAAGGAAGGGACAATGCTGTGCCCGGGCACGCCCCAGTATTGGAACAACTTGATGTACATGGGATGTTCAGCTCCATTTCCGTGAAGGTTGTGTTCCCACCTGGGGTTCAGGCCGATGTCTGGTGTTGTGTGAGTACAGGCACGTAGCATATGCGGCCACAGTGACGTTGGGCTTTCCCTCGCTGACGTCGAGCACCTGCGCCTTGACCCTGGGAGCCCGATTTCAAGTAGTTGATGAAGCAAATTCATGAGTTGAGGAAGCAAATGTTGCCTCCTCGGAGCTTGGTGGCCCAATTTCGGAAGGCGCAGCAACAGTAAGACGTATAAGTGAGATGCTTTTGACCTGGAGTTGGTTTGGCATTGGTACGCATCGTTGCACCCATCCGAATTCACGCCTACCGTTAAGCAACAGCCAGTGAGGCAACGGCAACGGTGTGCAGAAGTCCCTGAAAGACGGCGATCACAGCGACGAGGCCGAGGCGGTTCCGCATCCGATCGAATCAGATCCTCCGTTTCATGGCCACTGACGAACTCTGGCGAACGATAAGAATGCCCCATAGCCATGCACTGACAGACGGTGATGCAGCCAGCCAGGACGACCACGGAGGACACAGGCAGCTCGTCCCAACCCCGGCATTTGCAGCATTTCTACGGGGGCGGGCCATTTGTCGTGTTCTGCGTTTGGGGAGGCAGCAGGGTCAGAGGAGATGTTTCTGGCTGGGGAGCTTTCCCTTCGTTGGTGGCATGTGTGTGTTCTTTGCAGCGCTGGCCCAAGGGCCGCCTGCGAGGCCCTGTGGCTCAGCCTTGTAGAAATCCTTAGTCAACTGCTCAACACCGGTATCCATACGTGCCTTGGCCAGACTATTTTTGATGCTTGGTTTCAACTTGCATTTGCCATTGATCTCACCTGGAAGTCGGTGAGTGGGGTCTGATGGTGCTGCGGAAGACATCGCCTGTGTAGACCTTGAAAGAGAAGCGACGATGGTTGTGCTCTCATCTGACAGCAAGCATGCACTGCAGGTAGCCTATGCGGGCTTTGCTTAGATCTCGCACATGAGGCCTCCGGCTGAGAGTGTCGCCACAGGATCACTAGTCACGTTCCAGTGCATACGCAAGAGTTGTTTCCGTGTTCTGCGATCCGCCTGGATTCTATATGTTGCCATCAATGGGACTGAGGTCCATCAGATGCTTCCTCACATGCATACTTGTCAGAACCTCGGTGACGGTCCGTGTGTCATTCCGGACCCTTTGGCAAGTAAAGCAAGTAGGATTCACGCCTCCCTGGAACCTCAGGTCCTTAATACGCTTCGGGTTGTCACCTGTGGAGCTGAAGCTCAGGCGGCACCTTACAGCGAGGGTGCGAGTTCTGAGTTTCCACACTACAACGGACACCGTAACAGGAGCAGGAGAAGGCAGCGCCGGAACGACACCTGAACAGCAAGGCCCTCAGAAGGCAGCCAATGAATCTTTTCGTCTTGGTGTTACGGTGCTGAAAATCATGAAAACGAGCACAACATGGCACTGCAAGTTGCGACTGGTAGATCCGTGTCAAGCGTTGAGGCATTTGATTTGGTTGTAGCTGGCTGTTAGTTCTTGCTTCAAATCTGAAAGAGTTCGTTCTGTCGTCTCAAGTGATTGTGTGGCAGACTTTTCAGATGTTGTGTCCAGTCTGCATGCGTGACTTTGCAGCTTTGCAGGGCTCATTCAAAACGCGTTGATGTTTGTTTCGCTGCTGAGTTTTGTCCACGCCTTGCGGAGTTTCCGACTGTGTCCCATTCCTTGTGTTGTTTCTGGGTTCGCGGTTTCCGACTGAGGCGGTGGGCTATGTTCACGGGGTAGCCAGAATCATCTTGATTTAGGGTTTGGGGACAAGGCCACGTGTGAGATTTTGGGTTCCGGGTTTTTGGGGTCAGGCCTTCAAAACGTTCGAAACAGTAGTCTTAGCAGGGCTATGCTATTCGGCCTCTCATCTCCTCGCGGTGACGTGGGGGTTTCACTTGCAGGTGGTGCCTTCAGGTGTCAAAACCTTGGCGATTTGAAACGAAGATTGTGACACCCCAAGCCTGACGCCGCGCCGTGGTTTATGTCGTGAAATTTGTCAAAAGTCAAGAGTGTTTATTCCTGTTCATGCCATGGTTTGCTCCTTCTGACGGTTTTCGGTATCGTTATCGAATGCCTCAAGTGAGGGTTTGCCATTCGCAGTCGCAGTGTGCTACCTCCCAAGGTCCAAGGTTAACGTTCGTGGCGGCTTGTCGACTTCGTTCTCTGGGTTTAGGGATATCTTGCTGTTGCGAAGGCTTTCGATTTAGGCTTTGTCGCATTTCTAGGCGTGTGTTGTTTGCGGCTTCTGCATTCTGGCTCATGCCAGGGTTTTTTGGGTTTAAGGTTTGTGGCACACTGAGTCTTAATTTTGCGGATGCGCTTCCTTCAGGGGTTTTCGATTGTGCACATGTCTAGGCGACCCTGCTCGGGTTTCGGTTTTAGGGTTTGCTGCTTAACAAGAAACGTCTGGGGTTCGGGGTGTTCTGTTCTTGTTCCGTCGAAAATTCGGGTTTAATGTTTGCTACATATGGTGTGTGCAAACGTTTATGTCCAATATGTACACTTTGGGTCATGCTTTTTTGTTGCTGTTGGCGTTTCGGGCTTGGGATGTGGCTAGCTTAGCGGTGCACAGTTCGCCTCTGCTCGTCGCCAAGTTGTACGGGTCGTTTTGAGCCGGTTGAGGGATGTTGGGGCTCATGGTTTGTGAGTTTTAGGGTTTGTTATATAGAGTTATAGTCTCGCTGTCTTATCGTGATTTAGGTTTAGCTTTCGCTTCGCCGATTCGAGGTCTTGCAGGGCTTGCTGCTTACTAGTACTTGTCGGCTGCATTTCAGCTTTGTTCCATCTGGCAAAATGAAATCCGCTGTTTCCTTTCGGATCGCTGCAGATTTTTTGCTTGTGACCTGCCCCCCCGGATTTAAGGTTGTGGGGCTTAGATTCTAGTGTTGCCTTGTTGGCGCAAGGTGTGGAGCCTCTGGTGTTCTCGTTCTGTTTTGGCTGGGGACGTCTCTCCAGCTCGGTTGACTTCACAGATGTACGAAGAGAAAAGGTCAGGGACACAAAAAGTCAATAAATTGCACGAACAAATCTTAGTCACGGTCACGAGCCACCAGCCAGGCCCATTTGCAAATGTTGGATCTCTGTTGCGGCCTCCTCGCGCACTTCCGGGGTCTGGGATCGACAGCACGACAGCAGTTCAGCCTGGATTATGGTCAACCTGGTCACGAGCTGAAGCGCTCCTCTAGCGGTCGTGTCCAGACGCAGAGGTTGAGAGCACCGTCCAGATGCTGTCAAAAGCTACAGCAGTCCCTTTCACACACATTGTCTTCAGGCCTCCCAATCAACTTCTTCGCTTAAGAAGATTGTGGATGACTTGTGTGCCTAATATCACTTGTTGAAAACAGCAGCTGACTTTGCTAAGGGCGGCATGCATCTGATCATCAGAGCCATAGCAGGCCGGATCCGCTCCCTAGTCATCAAGCAATAACACGAGGTCGCGCTTGTTTAGCTCTCGGAAGCGTGCAGGCCCTCGAGCCGACTGCTTCGTGGGAGCCTCGGGTTGCTGCAAGCCGAAGCGGCTTTCTAACCCAGCTCCGTTCGAAGTCGCGCTCCGCTGCAGGTCGGCATGCTGTTGACAGCAAGGGTGTTGTGGAAAAGAGTGACGACTATGGTGATTCAGATGACCAGTGCCCTGATATGTTTTGGTGGTACAAGTGTCGTCGGGCGGCGGTTGCTGTTTTTTGTCTGCATATGGGTTGTTTTTCAGGTACGAGGAAAGGCCTTCACACAAGCATCATCGACAGCATCATAGAAAACGAGGCTGGAAACCTGGGTCATGAACAAACGGAGCATTGTTCTGGTGGGACTAGGGTTTCTTTGGCAGTGTGGGTCAACTGTCGGCAGGCGCTGCTGTGGATGACACTGGCCATGCTACCCTGGCATGTGACCATTGTGCTGCAGAGCTGGTGGCTCTGAAAACTCTAGAAAGAGAATGTGGAGGATCGCAGGATCGTGGAGCCCCGCGAACCTGTTTGCATGACACGAAGAGGTTGTGCTCTGGGAATCCTCAACCTGAACAGTTATGGTAATTGGTTCATGTGTAAGCATGTGCACCCCGAAATCTCAGATGCCTACGTACTGCGTCGATTTAGGAATGTATGCGCAGCAACCGAAGCCATGCAGACACAGCACACCGGGCTCTGCGGTGCAGAGACTTGTTTCGCGGCATGTGTTCTTCCAGAAAACCACCGTTTTTCGCTTGTTCAAGAGCTGTGCCAGGTCCATAGCGGTGACCACGGCCGTGGCTACATAGAGCCACTGTCCGAGCCGCTCACTGCCAGACCTCCTCGACACGAAAAGCTGTATGCTGGAGATTCGCATCTGAGGTCCAAGGACAGGGGTCATGCACGAGGCCGGGCGGGAGTCTCGATGCACTGTGGGCAGTCGCATGGCGTCGCGCCTGGAGGCATTTCTGCCCGAAGGCTTTCGATGCATTCGATCAGGCAATCAGATGCGACGGAGGCTCGGGCCTGACCTCAGCGTTCGCCGAGTTCTGCGCCCCACTGTCGAGAGGACGTTGGCCCGACCGGCAACGCCACAGCAGAGGAGGACGAGGACGAGGAGGAAGAAACAGACTCTGACGAGGAAGAGGCCGAAGACGACGGAGCAGTGCAGGATCTGCTCTCTTGAACTATGGCGATCTCGCCTTCTGCTTTTGCGCCTATGCAGCCATGAACCCTGCGTGAGGACTGTGAGTACAATGTCTGGGTCTCAGACGATGTATACTGCTTTTCGTGGTTTTTTTGCGATGCATGAACCGCGGGGTTCTCCTTGTTGACAGCGATAGTGTCCCGTGTCAGGATTGGGGAAAATGGACCCAGTGCAGCGAAACCTGTGGCGGTGGGTCACGAAAGAGGCGCGGATGCCATGGAATCAGTCTGATTTTTCCTCGGAGAATGGGCTGCGTCTGAGTAAGACTCATCCCCAATACCGTAGTGAGCCGCAGAGAGTTGCAGGACTCGAACCGTCAAGACGAAGGCCCGCCCGGCAAGGCCAGGGAGGGCGACCGTTTGTTGCTCGGCACAGGCACAGAACGGTGGGAAGGCCTGCGAAGCCGCGGAGAAGAAACAGACAGAGGACGTCAGCGTTGCTCGCTATATCCCACAATGACACATCATGACACTATGACTCGGTGCGCCTCTGAAACGCCAGGAATGCAACACCAAAGAGTGCCCCGTGGATTGCGTCATTAGCGACTGGCAGGACGCTGTACTGCGACAGGGTACTGGCTTGGGGGCCTTAGGATGCCGAGAGGATGTGAAACAGAGTGGAAGACGTCCGAGCTAGTGGAAGCGCCACATCAACCCGTTGATTTGCCTGTCTAAGGCCAAAGCAAGAGCTTTAGTCGCTCTAGTTAATCAAGACACAGGAGCAGGACCCCGAATCAGCCGGAGATGGCAGGACTGGGGCCACTGTGCGCCGAATTGCCAGGGCCATCGCAAGCGGAACCGGATGATCATCCAGACTGCATCACACGGTGGCCAGGCCAGGCGCGAGTGGTAGCGGCTTACTGCTCGCAGCGCAACCCTAGACAAACTGGAAGCTTCAAAGTCTGGAAAGTCGATCGGAGGCTTGTGGTGACACGAAGGAGGAAGAGTCCTGCGATGGCGTTTGCACTGACTGCGAGTACGAGGAGAGCCCCCCCTTCTTAGTTGTCACAGTGTGATGTCGCCAGAAGAGGACTGGTCCTCTTGGGTGGAGTGTTCCGTGACCTGTGGCGGGGGCAACCAGAACCGGACGCGGGACGTCGCAGTGCCACCAACCAACGGCGGCAAGGCATGCGTCGGGAAGCGCGGTTGCAGCATTCACTCATCTGCACTCTCCGCTGTTGCTCTCGCTCGGTCACACACTCGTGCTGAGGAACAAAACAGAGACGCGAGTTTGTGGAAATGGAGCCTGCCCTGTCGACTGCGAGCTCAATGACTGGTCGAACTGGACAGCCTGCGAACCATACTGTGCAGGCAAGGGCGGCAAGCCAGGGTCCACAAAAGTTCTGCGAATCCTTCCCTCTACGTGCTTCGACTGCGTGTCGATAGAACGAGAGGCAACATGTCGCGGCATCGCACGGTGAAGACCTTGCCGCTGAACGGCGGTGTAGCCTGCGGCAACTCGGAGAATGCAAAACTGTTCAGTTTCAGGGCATCCATGAGCCATAAGGGAAAGCAAACATTCTGGCCAAATTCAGGAATAGCACTTGTTTAAAACACCCGCGAGAATGCCGAGCGTGTTGACGGCAAGGTACATTGAATGAGACCCAGAAATGCACCAACTTCTGTATGGATTGCAGCTGGTCGGATTGGACTGCGTGGACGAACTGCACAGTGTCTTGCGGCGGCGGAACAATGAACAGGCTCAGCACTTGGCAACATCAACCTCTTGCTGAAATTGCTTGAGGAAGTTGTGCCAGGAGCAGGGACCAGACCTTCGTGGCCACAGGTGGAGGAGGTCGGAAGTCGGAACGCCCTAGCTGGCCTTGGGATCTCAAGTGCTCGCCTTGAGGTGCAGCACTTCTTCAGCTCTCCGGCTCCCAGGTCTTCGGCTTCGAGATGAAGGCGTCGAAGAGGTGCGACGCTGGTCACCAGGCGAGGAAATTCTGCCGACGCGACTGAGTATTTTCTCGATGTCCGATACAGGCTGCTAGGGCGACGAATCTGTCACTTTTGTTTGTGCAGGCCAGTGACGCCTTACCACTCGCGGAGGCCCAGGAGAAGTGCAAGGCTGGGTCAGACGTCCGGTTCTTTCACACCGGGCAATGTCTTCGGCGACCCAGCCTGAAGTCAGGTTTCGGCTGATTGCCAGGGCCTTTCCGACCTTGGCTGCGACGGGAAGCAGGCCGGCCCACGAGATGGGAGTTTAGCGGCCCCTGTTCGCGTGATTCGCGATGCTGGTTGATGTCTGAGGTGGTGCTTTGCACCTCGGGCTCTGTGCTGGAGGAGGACGTCTCCGCATGCGCTTACAACAAGAAGGCGGGTTGACTCGTCAGTGCGTGACACTGCGTCAAGTTCGGCTTTTGCACTGCTCGTAGGAGATCGGAGGAGGCAAGCCTTGCACTGGCACCTCGGCTTGCTTTCAGCTTTTCGGACTTTTTGAAGGTCCCCATACACAACCCTCTAAAGCTTTCTGCCTGTGAAAGCGCTTCAGCTTAAAGAGAGCCTAGCTTCAACTGTCCTTCATCGTGCTTGGGGCACCATGGCCCTGGATCATGTTTAAGTGGATTCGCCTGCAGTAGTCATCCCTTGCGTCGTGGATATGCAGCTCGACGGGCCCGACGATGAGACCTTGCCAGGAATAGAGACGCAGTCTCAGGCCAGACTTTGTCCGGACCCGACAATCAAGCATGGCTTCTGCATCTTCATCAAGCAGAAATTGGCAGAATGCATGTCGAAGCGACACGACCAAAGAGCTGTACGGTACTGAGACGGGACGCATGACAGGCTTGGCACGTCGTGTCAGCAGGTACGCGAGCGGGTCAGGACTTACACGAGTTTGGGGCTGGGAGGGTTTGGTGATGAATCCTTGGGACGATGCGATTTAGGGTCTGCTTGCCTTATAGAGTTTATAGGGTTTAGGGACCCCCGTGACATGCGCGCCGTGGCCTGACGCGGGCAGCTTCGCAGCTTCTCTCAGCGCAGCTTTGCACTTCCGGCCGACGCAGTGAAACTCTGACACCGGCATCTGAATCTACTATATAGTATAGTTTGCAGGACGATGTACTTCGTAGCAGAGAATCCGGATGGGATGGCCCGACACCTGCGCACCCCAGCACGTTGAACATGGTTTCAAACGTCCAGAAATGTGTTGTGTCAGTTCTCTATTCTGTGCATGTGGAATGTTTCGTGGTTTGGACCTTTCGTGATTTAAGCCGTGTGTGTGTGTGTGTGGGGGGCAGGAATGTCTTGTGGTTCAGGCAGGGCTGTTCCTTTATTCAGCTTGAGGCAGGTGGTACGCTTGGTAGTTAAATGCATGTGCGTGCACTGATGTCTCGCGGTTTAGGGCTTGAGCCTTCCCAAGGCGACGGAATCGAAAAGAAGAACTGCAGCACTGAGTCCCGGGCTTAGCTGGTCGCATCGGTAGCGGATTCATGCACGCGTCTGACTTGCCGAGTCCCTGTCCGGTCGACTGTGGCTACAGCGACCCTGGGCACGGAGTTCGGGAGAGTTAGATCTGTGTGCTGTTTGAGAAGGCTTTCTCACTTCTAGTTAACGGTCGGCTTTCAGGATTGGGCTGAGTGGTCCGCCTGCGAGCCCTATTGCTCTGGGAACAAGACGCGGAGTCGCAGCATCGTAGCCGAAGCAGCTCATGGTGGCGTCGCGTGTGCAAAAGAGGAGCGGGCACACGCTTGAGTCTTTAAAGGACTTGGGGTGTTTGGCTTTCGGCCTTGGAATGCTGTGCAGGAGCTGAAGGAGCAAAAGGCTCGCGTGTTCTCCTTCGCACGGATGTCCACTTTTTCACTCTTGAGCAGGCCTGTGCGAACTTCTGCATGGACTGCCAAGTTTCGGATTGGACGGAATGGGACGCCTGCAGCGTCACTTGTGGCGGTGGGCGCACCAATCGGACGCGGACGGAGACGTGCCTTGGCGAGTCTGGTCTTCACTCGAACTCTGCAGCTCAATGACCGTAGTTTGAGTTCCAGTATGTTCCAGTTCTGGAAGTCCGAAGAGTGTTCGTTGTTTTGGGAGGTATGTGAACCGGCCGAATCTGACAGCCGCGAGTCTGCTGGAGGTAGGGAGCGATGGTGCTTCAAGAGTGACGACAGACGGGTTTTGGGCGTTCGAGAGGTCGGAGCTGCCTCGGCGGCCTTCGGCTACGAGAAGCGGTTGGGCGTCAGGCCAGCCTCTGAGCTGCTGGGCGATGCCTTTGCGCCCTCAGTGCCGACCCGCTGCCACTCTGTCAGGTGCACGGACGAAAGCCTGGGGCCAAAGAAGAAGGAGTTTCTGCCGGCCAGGGCTGAGAGGAAATGCAGCGACTCGGCCGATCGGGCAGATCCTGTCATCAAAAGCAGCCAAGAGTCGAATCAGGCAACGATCCAACCTGCTATGCACTCTACGACAGAGACTGCGATGGTGGCCTCAGGGCCCCCTGGCTTCCGGTTTCCAGAGGGTTGGAATAGGCAGGATCCTTCTTCGATGGACATTCAGCCTATTATGTGTATGCCGGGTGAGGGAATGATGTCGTATTGAGATGCAGAGTTTGCTAGCGATCACGCTCGAACCTAGGAGGACACTTGCTTGAGAGGTTTTCGTAGAGATTCTTCTCGCGACACGACACCGAGTCACTCCTTTCCTGCACTGTGGCAGCCGTCCTGTCCTCCGGGCATCTTCACGCACAAAACACAAGACCAGACCTCGAGGACCTCTTTACTGCGGCTGCAGGGTGTAGATATCTACTTGAAGACAGATCCCGCTCGGCTCGCCTTACTGGTTGCTTGGCGGCTGCCTGCACGAAAGAACATGTTTACCTACGCACTTCCCTCGTTTAGCCTCGGATACTCTTCGCTTCGTCTGTCCGTCTGCCGTGCTGAAAATACACGTACCACCTACCTCTTCGCTTTGACTTACACTCCATGCTTCGATAATCCGGAGACGCCTGTTGCCGTCTCTTGTGCCTCAGGGGTTCCAGATCTCCGGTTGGGCAGGGCCGCCGACTGTATACCTGTCCTATGAAACCAGCTGCTTTCGGGCGTGACTTGACGACCCCTGCTTTGACTAAGTTTTGCGGAGCCGATTTCGAGCTCGTGCCGGAAGAGGGGTCCTGTGTCTACGTGAAGAAGGAGATCGGTGAAGGGGTGCCCTGTGACGGCAAGATCTTGGAGGCGACCCAGTGAGTGGCTGCAATCGCTGTTCAAACGGCAAATGGTATGACCAGGGCAGCAAGTGCAACATCCAGAAATGCCCCATCGACTGCAAGTACAAAGCCTCCCTGCTGCAGTGATGCCGGCTTTTCATCTCTTCTGGCGCTTCTTGTTCCGACTGGTGTCCTTCGTTGAGGACTGGTCTGACTGGGGATCTTGCAATCCGCTCTGCGAGGGAACCCGAAACAGGCGAGCCGCCGGTAGATGCCTGGAGTTGTTTTGAAGCCTCACCAGATGTGCATGGCGCAGGTCTCGAGAGGTGAAGAAGCCGGCTTCCTAAGAGTGTGTGTGTGTGTGTGTGTGATTGTGGATGTGTGTGTGTGTAATAGCTTGCATGTCAAGAATCAGGCTTTTTAGCTGCAGTCAATGAATTCAATGAAGGCTCGAGCGTGATTCGTGGAGAGTGCAAGGTATGCTGCTTTTGGGGGCCAGCCCTGCGACAACAAGACTCAATCTGAGGTGGGACCTTTTGACGTGCAGAGGTTGACTAGTCGCCTACGAACGCCAGTACAAGTGGTCTCACCAGCTGCTCGTCTTATGTGTCGGTATCGTCGCTGCCAGGAGTGCACCAACGTCTGTGTGGACTGCGAATGGTCTGATTGGACGGCATGGACGAACTGCTCTGCAACTTGCGGCGGCGGCATGCAGGTGCATCGATGCAGACGGTTGCGAATCTACAATGCTCGTGTGGTCCTGACTGTGCAAGGAACGAGGCAGGGGAATCGCCGTGGAGGTTGAAGGCTATGGGAAAAACTGCACCGGGGACGCAGAGGAGAAGCAAAAATGCAACACACAGGACATGGGACTCCTTGGGTTCGGCCGGCCGAAGGTCATGACAAGATGAGGGCAGTAGGCAATGCTCTGTGACAGCTGTCGTTGATTTGAGTACTGAGTACTGCCCATGTTTCGATACTGTTTTTTGAGGACGTGCCTTTTGTCACAGTGATTCGTGGCAGATCCAATTCGGAAGCTTCGAGCACTCGGGGGTTGTGTGAGGACTGTCCGGTCGACTGCGAGACGAGTGCTCCCTGGCAGATTCACATCGGGATCCTCCATACCTGCAACATCTCAGAGACCAACTTCTCACGGGCATGTGAAGATGTAGATTTAGATCGACTAGACACGCGGAGTCCCGACCTTCCCGCTTGAGAGCCCTTTCCAATTTGCCAGTCTTTCCCCGCAGTGAATGTGGGGTTGTCCAACAAGGACTGGAGTAGCTGGAGCTCCTGCGAGCCCTTCTGCAAAGGCATGCAGAACCAGACACGAACCATCACACTGGAGGCTTCCAGGGCTTCGGGTTTTGCAGCATTTCGATATTGGTGTTCGGGTCGTTACGACAAGAAGCTTAATATCAATCGTGTCCCGTGCCTCTCGTCCCGACACAAGATTCAATCCCAGCAGTTGCTGCGAATCTCTGGTTTAAGGGTATGAGGTTTTGCAGCCTGTGTTCGGTGTTTGATGGGTGCTGTCCATTCCTGGCTTTTGGTTTAACGGCCTAGTGCCCGTCGACAGTGTCCTGTATTGGTTTAGGAATATTAACCTTTGCTTTGGCGCAGCAACAATTTTAGGGTTTAGGGCTAGCCTAGCATCGTTTAGAGTCGCACCCTCAGCCAGCGTCACTTGTTTGCGATGAGTTTGTGCCGTTGACCAGGGACCTTGCCACGAGTTCCGGCCACTCATGTTTTGTGGTGTTGGCAGGGATCCGCGGACCTACAAGCGTTTGCTAGCTGTATTTTATGCTTTTTTTGGTTCTTGGTTTGGTGACGGTCACGGTTGGAGGGTTCAACTTGTGCGAGCAGTCGCGATCTGTTACATCGCACGCAAGATTTGCTACCCATCACGGGTCAGAGGTTCGGGCCATGTGGTCGAGAGCTGGGGCTTGGGGATATCCAGACTTCACATCTTCGGGTTTTGACTGCTGTTTCTAGGTGTCATGATTGCACAACATTCTAGGGGCTGCGCCCACGGGCGGGCAGCGCAGGGAGCAGCTCGCACCCCGCCCCTCTCTCCAACCCCCGCCTGAGTAAACTGAGCGTCAAACCGCAAACCAGCTAGAACAACATTTGACAAGGATGGCCCCCTCCCTCGTGTTCCCAGGCCCCGCTGATGCTGATGATGCACGCCCCGGGTCCCGGACTGGGGCCGCTGATGCTCATGATGCGCGCCCTATGGGGCTACCCATCCATGGCGACCCCAAAATTATGCAAGAAAACTGGAAATTAGGTGGGGTCGGTGGCACCGGCGGTCGCGCCTTTTGCTAAAGCAAAGCTAGCGAAGCTACAGGTCGCCTGAGGCTCGGACAGGGCGCACGAGCTCGGGGACCGAGCGCTGCCCGATTTAAGGGCTACGCCGCTGCCGCCGCACAGGGAGTCTGCTTAGCGGGTGCAGATACATACAGATGTTGAACAGGCCCGCTCGTTTACGCGAGTTCTTCATGTGGTCACAACTGACGATTACTCAGCCAACCATTTGGCCGAGCAGATGTTGACCAACTGAGTGAATTGAGATCCTTGACCTTGACTGCTGAGGCTGCGGCTCAGGTTGATGAGTCTAATGACAGGGGGGCGGGTCCGGGAGGTGGGGGCAGGGGGGAGGTTGGGAAGGGAGGGCAGGAGGAAAGCTTCGGGGTGCTCACGTCATTTTTAAATTTCCGTAACTAATCGGGAACGGGGTGGTCCGGGTGTGGGGGGTAGGGAGGGTGTGAGGGCTGGGGAGGGGCGGTGGGTTCGGGTGTGGGTTGGGGTCCGGGTGTGGGGTGGATAGGGAGGGGGAGGGGTGTGGGTGGGAATTGGGGGTTTGGGCAGGGCTCAGAGCAGTTTTGAGTAATCCGAAGGGGGCGGAGGAAGGGACTTCCCTGGCGCTCGACCCAGCAAGCGGGGTCGGCGGATTGTGCCTTTCATGAGTCACAGATACAACTTTACCATACTTTACCACGGTTGTCTTCAGGTTCTGTTGTGTCAGTTTACCTTCCATCTTACTGTGTCGTATGGTGATCTGCAGCTTCTTCGTGTTCCGCTTCAGTTGACTCGTCACTGCAGAGTGAAGTCGAAATCGAAAGTGGAAGTGGTTCTGTCAGGGGAGGTACTGGTAGTGTTTTGATACTGGCAGCCACCAACCTCGAGAGCACATGAACGAGTATTAAGACCAGGGCCGTCTGGTGTTCGGATTGCAGCCTGGTCTTGCTAGGTTTGCGGCCCATGGTTGCGGTTTTTGTTTGGCTCTTGCGATGGTGAGGTTCAGCGTGGTGCTCAGTGTTTGCATGTCCATTGAGGATAAGTACAAGCCGAGTGAAAGGTAAGCAAGAAGCATTCATATCTCGCCCGGTACCCCTACCGACCTTCCTTCTTGCATCTGTGCTGTATGCAGCACGATCCACCAACGAGAACCAGCTGTGCAGCATTACATCGTATCTGCCATACGAAATGTGATATTGGACTTGGCCATTCAGGGATCGTGAACTTGTGCAGCTCTGGTTTCCTTTCGGGTTTCAGTTTTGCTGCAGCTTGGCGAATCGGTGGTGTGGTGTCTTGTGCCCTTCGGGTTTCCGAAGTAAACGAAGTCATAGCAACCACATGCCACCTCAGCTCTTGACCCTCGCTCGTGGATGCTCGTGGGTTCTCTGAATGCCTGTCTGTGCTCCCTTCTAAAGGGAGCAAAGGGAACTGTGGACTTGCTATAAGGAGCCGAATAAACCATCCAAACAGGCGGCAAATGGCGGCATGCCATGTGGTCCACTCTTCCACTCCCGTGCGTGCAACAACACATGCCTGGACTGCGTGTGGGCAAATTGGACAGACGCTAGGAAGCAAGTTTACTCCGCACGCTTTCCTGCTTTCCTAGTTGCCATCGGAGATATCAGCTTTTCAGGAGTGGGGTCAGTGCTCCGCTTCCTGTGGCGGTGGAGTCCAGTCCCGCTTCTCGACCGCATTCGGTCATTCGGTTTTAGTTGTCCTGTGTGTCAGGAGGAGTTTAGTCGAGGTTAGGGTTCCTTGGTAACAGATGTTGGGGAAGCCAGGCACTTGTTCAAAGAAGGTTGCGGAAGAGCCGTGACACTAGTCGGCGCAATCGCGAGCACTACTGTGCGCGACCTGATGATGCATAGCTGTATCACAGCAAGCAGGTGCAATCGAGTACCGGACACGATTCGCTGTTCTTTCTTCAGAGCCTCGTCATCCCTGATTCGGTGTATCTTATGTTGAACAAATTGTCTAGGTTGGTTGGCATCTGTAAGCTTCGAGCGAAACCGATTGCACAGCCCAAGTGCTGCTGCACCCCAATCAGCCAGTTGTTTGGGCCTGGAATCTGGGACTCGGTTTCGAAGTCAATGTGTTTTCGCGGTGGACGTAGACGGTCCCATGTTCCGTAGCAGCCATGGGGTGATGCTCGTTGCTGGGCGCTGTGTGGCTCCGGAGAGCTAGGGGAGTCACGCCTCATCGGTGTTCGAACCAGTGTGCTTGCTTGGAGCATGAGGCAACCGCTACATTTCGCGCCCAAAGGTGGGCGAGGCGGAGGATTGCGAAGGACAAGCGCCAACTTAAGTGAAGGGCCGTGCTGCAAGTTCCTTCCTCTGGACCCCTTGCCTCCGATCTTGCTAGGAAGTCTAAGTCTAAGTAGTCCTGCAGCCTGCTGGGGGTTGCTGCCACGATCCCCAAGAGGCACAACATGCAAGAATCCTCGAAGCTGTCAAGCTGTTGCCAGTCTGCCATGTAGCTGCATCATGGGAGTGCGCATCATTAAAGCACGAGCCGAGTTTATGCTCAGTCTCGAGGACCCTTCAACGAGACCCAAGCCTGCAACGAGCAGAGCTGTCCGATTGATTGTGTCCTTGCCGACTGGAGCGGATGGTCGGACTGCGATCCCTACTGCCGCTCCGCCGCAGACGGGGTTCCAAGAGCAGATGCTGCCTCGGTGATCTTGCCCATGCAGTGCGCTGGCACTATGAGGCATCGGGACGCAGAACAGGAATCGCATCGTGGTCACTGCCCCCGAGTTTGGAGGGGTTCCGTGCGGGAACCTCTCTGAGACGCAGCGTGGCTGGGTCTGCATCGGATCATTTCAGGCAGTATTGAAAGTATCGGCAGGTGTGTGAGCGACTTGTCGGCTCGAGTACCGAGATCTTGAAGGTTTGAGAAGGGTGCACAGCCACTTGCTGGGACATTCCTCAACAAACTGCCCGAAACTGGGAGCCAAACGAACTCCAAGACTCAATTGGTCGAAGCCCGGCTGAGCCCTAAATCAGTCCTACATCTGAACCTGTGTCAACTAGCTTCTTGCAGTTGGAAACGGGCCCGCAAAAAGAAACCGTTTGAATTGCGCCGGCCCATGAGTGTACCGTTCGGCCCGCTCACAACAGCATTTCAAACTCTTCTTGCACATTGAGGCCTCAGTTGAAGCCTGGCTTTCAGGGTTTCCGTGCGGCTTAGCGTTAAATCTAGTTTCGTCTTGGGCACTGGAGTAACTGTTGCACAAGCGAAAGGTCGGGGGCTTTGCTCGAAAAACGCTCCTTCCTCAAGCGTTCAGTGATTGGGTGGCTATCCATGCTGGCAACCTTCGTCAAAAATCGGTAAACGTGTTGACGGTTTAAGCTCCGTCCCCAAAGCTTGGGGGACTCGAATTCCACATGTCAGCGGCTGCTAAGCGGCTTCGCTAAGCCACTCTGTCTGCATCGTATGGTCTCGAATGCAACAATCCCATAAGACACAGCTACATGTTTCTACTCAGCTTCAGTCTTTGTCTGCCAGTCATTGGCGTCGCTTGTCCGGAATCCGTGATCCGTAATTGTATTCAATGACATGACTCACAGTTTCTGTTTTACATGAAGCACGACCTGCCGGCCTCTTGGCGGCTGAACCTACAAGTGCTCGGAATAATCGACCTGCACGAGTTTTCCCGGAAGCGTGGCGAAGGATTTTCTGTGCTGCTTCGGATAGCAGGAGGTGATTGATGTGATGCCGTTGATGTGAGGCGGCCTCTTAGGTTGTCGTGATGTTGCATAGCATTGATAGTACCTTTTAGCACCCGGGGCAGAGCTAGCAGGAGGCGCAGTGCATCGTGAAATGGCACCGGTGCAGTGGTTTGTCCGCGGAATTGCCCACAGTCTCCTGACGCCGGCCTTTTCGGTCTCTCGAAATGGCGCTGTGTGCAGCTGCGCGTGTGCTTCTGTGAAGTTTCGTGTTCCGACTCGACAACCCTCTCGGTGCTATCAGCGTGTCCGCATCCTCCGGTCAGCGCGATCCACTGCAAACTCCCGTACGGTGGTCTCGCGTTGGTCCCGAATTGACAACCCTTTAGGTAGGCGCTACGTGTCCGTGTTCTCCGGTAAGCGCAACCCATTGTAAATGTTGGTACATTGGCATCACGCAGGACGTAGCTCTCGAAATGACAACAGTCTGGGTGAACCCGGCATGTCCAGGCGCTGCACGAGTGGTGCCGTGTCGACTTTGGCCATTTTGGCTGTGCTCCTGAATCCCTCCAACCCCGGTTTTAGTAGTGCCGAAAATCGCGCTGCACGAGTGGTGCCGCGACGATTCGCGTGCGTCCGTGACTCAAGGTCAGCGCGACTAACTGTAGATTGCAATACATTGGCTTCATGTTGATCTCAAAATGATAATATCCTCTCGATGTTGCCTTCATGTCCGGGCTTGCTGTGTTGGTTCATGTCGGGGTTCCACCAATCCCCAATGAATCCCGTCAGTACATGCGGGGAAGCATCTCGTCGTGCTTCTGAGCTGCATCTGAATGCTGCCCGTGGGAGCACTTCGTTTATTTTGGGCTTATGGAACGGTTGATGGAAGGGCTTGTAGAAGCGCTCACAAGGTAGGGCTTCTACAGTGCAAAAAAGGATGGATGAATGATTGGTGGATGAGCTCAGACGAGATGATATTCGTTAAGCGCAGTTGAACTCTCAGCTGGCACAAACTTCCACTATTGTACTTTACTTCGATCCATACAACAACTCTGGTTACGAAGCCTGAGAGGAGAGAAATGTTGAACTGAAGTCATGGCTTCAACTTCATGCAGCTGCACCCGGTCGTTAGGTTGCACCAACTTCTGCATGGACTGCCAGCTGTCTGACTGGACTGAATGGGCTAGCTGCAGCAAGACCTGCGCTGGCGGAAGCCAGCACCGCTTGCGGGATGAAGTGTGGCTTGGTCTGATATCTTCTAGCATTCCAACTATCTCTTGCGGCTGCCTGCCAGGCATAGTTACTGCATGGTGCCCCTGCATGTGCTTGGTGAGTGTCGGCCACCAGGTACGTGCAACGAATGGCCAGCAGCTTTTCAGCAGAGAGTTTGAGTAGTCAAGTCTTTCAGGGCATCTGCACTTGCTTTATCGGGCAGCGTTCTGCTTCTCTGCCAAGAAGTAGAGCAGGTTCCAGGGCGCACAGCATGTGTGTTTGGTTCGTGGGAGACGCATCTCGCTTCTGGCAAGCAGTTCGAGTGCCCATGATGTGTAAGAGGATTACAACGACAATTAGCAGATCCCGAGCCCAGACTCTGCGATTGAGGCCTCATCGAGCTGCAAGCAGGCTCCGCCTCCTCCACAGGACCCACATGCTTCTGGTCGTAGCAGTATGGATGGGGGTGATTTCGCCCCCAACTCAAAGCAAGCCGCAAGTGGTGATGCATTCTGTCAGGAGCCTGGGGCTACCAAAAGAAGATGGGCGTTAGGCGCCGTCTTTTTTGCTGTTGCGATACCGCGTGAAGATCTACTTGCCGACCTCAATGACCAAACCGACACCTTGAGGTCTGTACAATCCCATCAAACCCCAGGTGTGCTTTCCCAGATGCAGAGGGCGAGTGTGAGCAGGTGCGACCCAAAGCACCAGCGAAGCGCGAATAACGCCGGGACTCCTCAGGACATCCGACGTGAGATTGTTCCGTGTGTGGCTTGCTGTTTGGTTGTTGTGCTTCTGCAATTGCAGGAGGCAGAAGCTTTGTGCAGCGCTGATCCCAC